CCAGACGTGGGACTCAATCCCGGGTCTCCAGGATCATGCCCTGGGCGGAAGGCGGTGCTAAACCGCTAAGCCACCGGGGCTGCCAGGAGCTAATTTTTTTTTTTTTTAAGATTTTATTTACTTGAGAGAGAGCATAAGCAGGGGTGAGGGGCAGAGTGAGAGGTAGAAGCGGACTCCCTTCCCCCTGCCTCAGCAGGGGGCCTGATGCTGGGCTCCATCCCAGGACCCCAGGATCATGACCTGAGCCAGAGGCAGACACTTAACCAACTGAGCCACCCACGTGTCCCAGGAGCTGATTTTTAAAAAAGTGCCCTATGCAAACAAACCCTTTCCATTCATCATCTTATTTAATGAATATAGAAGCAGTATTCTCCCCAGTGCCGCTCAGGAAGTGACGGTCGAGACTGGAGGCTGGGATTCTTGACTTTGTTGCTCTTTTCATTACCTCAGGCTCTCTAATTGTGTGTTTCTTCATTCTTGTTGAAGCTGGTATTTTTTAACTTCTTCCTGTTGGTCCTTAGCCGAGTTGGTCTATTGTTCTGGTAAACGTTGCTGTGTTCATTTCTGCTTTCCTGGGTACTGTAAGGAGAATGACTATAGGACTTTTGTCTTGACCTCTTAACTGTTTTTCCCCCAGTGGCGTAGACCAAGATGATGTAGCAGGAAAAGGTTGTGGAGCTTGGACCCTAACTACTCTACTGGAGGCAGAGAACAGTGGTAATGTTGGGGAGTGGAAGGGCCCTTTGCAATTGGGGAGGAGAAGTTTTAGAGGAGTTTGGGGCGTTTTTTGTAGAAATACCTGGAATGTGTTCCTTTTTTCTAGGGCCTGATACAATAACATCTAGTTGACTCCATGGCTTTCATGGTGAGATCTTGCTAAAGGAGAACACTTAGACTGATAAATTAAGAGGAGGAAAGGTACTTGGCTATTCTAAGGTACCTACCTTTTATATCTTTTTTATATTTCTCTTATTTTGGAATACGTATATAAGCAGAACTTTTTTAAAAACTTAGAAGTAGTGTTACATTCTGAGTAATTTTTTTTCTTCTTATTGAAGTATAGTTGATACACGATGTTGCATTAGTTTCAGATTTACAACATAGTGATTCCACCAGTCTATACATTATGCTATGCTTACCACAAGTATAGCTCCCATCTCTCTGCATACCATGCTGTTGATTGTATTCCCTATGCTGTAGCTTTCATCCCCGTGACTAATTCAGTCCAACATTTCAAGTAATTTATTTTTCTTTAGAGAAAGAGGGAAGGGGAAGTGTTGAGGGAAAGGGAGAGAGCGAATCCCAAGCCAACTCCCCACTGAACATGGAACCTGATGCGGGGCTTGATCTCACAACCCTGAAATCATGACCTGAGCTGAAATCAAGAGTTGGATGCCTAACCAGCTGAGCCATCCAGGGGCCCCCTGAGTAATTTCTAATGTTAATAGTGCTGTCGGGTAGTCATCTGTATGATGCCACTCTCCGGAATGATGATTTCAGAACTGATGGTTGGATTGTGAATAGATAACTGTGCTGGTTTCATAAGCTGTCTTTGGGCAAGGGCCAAGTCCTGTTTACTCTTGTGTCCCAGTACCTTCCAGTTATGCCTTATGCATACCAGACCTGGTTTTTATTTGGTCCAGCTACAGGTAACCTCTGGGACCGTGGGTTCCAGGTTAACTTTAGACCTGTTTCCTTGTTGCACTCTTTCCTGGTAGAGAGCCTGGACAGGATGTGGCTGCAAGAAAGAGATTTTTACCTCCTCCTCCTGTTTGTTTATATTCTATTTTCTGCATTTTTTAATATAATGTTTTTATAATTCTGTTGCTATATGAAATTTTGCTTGTATTCTTGTTGGTTTAGGGAATTCCTGGGGGATACAGGGAGAAGGACACATTTATTTACTTGGGTCGCTAAAAATATCTCTGAAAGGATACACAGGAAGCTAGGGACATTATTTTCTTTTAGGCAGGGAAACTGGGCAGCTGGGGGGCAGGAGTGGGAGGGAGATTTTGCACTTTGGTACCTCTTGAATTGGGACCATGTGATTGATACTCCCTGAATGCCTTTGAAAGCAGAGATGGAGAAAATGCTCAAGAGCATAGGAAAAAAGGTACCCCAAAAATCCAGTTTAGTAAAAATAAATAGAAGAGAGGATTATCAGTTACTTTTTATTTTTTGAATTTAAGGAGAAAAGAGAGAATTCAGTCTGCTTAATGCCTTGGGGCTTCCAGTGTCTTTCATTCTCTGGAATCCGTACATAGGAATTTGTGACCTACTTTTGAGTATGTTAAGCCTTTATTGCATACTTACCTTCAAGAAGCATATACTTTTGTTAGAAATCTTAGTTCTAACTGGAGGGGGGGGCTTTTTATATAATACATATTTTAGTTTTTTTTAATTCTTATTTTTTTAAAGATTTTATTTATCCATTCATAGACACACAGAGAGAGAGGCAGAGACACAGGCAGAGGGAGAAGCAGGCTCCACGCAGGGAGCCCGACGTGGGACTCGATCCCGGGTCTCCAGGATCATACCCCAGGCTGCAGGCGGCGCCAAACCGCTGTGTCACCGGGGCTGCCCCTATAATACATATTTTAAAAATTACAGTAGAGACTTGAATGAACAGGATAATTCCTCTCCCAGCATTGGAGACTGTTTTCTTGTCTGTTGCCTCCTAGCTGAGCATGAAGTCTGACCTCTTTTCCCTGGGTGAGAGCAGAAGGCCAGGCTTATAGCCACAAGGGTTGGAATGTTGGGAGAGGCGACTAATTGGCCATGTGGCCATGGAAAATCAGGATCCTGTTTCTCCATCTGTAAAATAGGAATTTCAATGCTTTATACAGTTGGTTGGAGAATTAAAGATAGTGTATAAATCATCTAGCACGGAACTTGACACATCAAGTAGATGCTCAAATATTGTGTGATTATCATCATTGGTTAGGATCTGTTGAATTTAGGTCCCTTGAAGGGTTAAAGGATAGGAGATTCTTTTCACTGGGAATGAAAGACAGATGTTTAGGGGAAGGTGGAGTGCATCCCTTATCAGCCAATGTATAACAAACCACCACAAACTCAGTGGCTTAAAACAACTATGGAATATTATTTCGCCTTATTCCGCTGTTTGGCTGAGTAGTTTTTTTGCTTGTCTCCTTAGACTTATTTGTGTAGTGGCAGTCAGATGATGACTGACATGGCTGAGTGTCCCTAATAAACTCATACTTCTGGCTGTTGGTTGGGGCATGTTGGTTCTCTTCTGCGTGACCTCTTTGGTTCCAGGAGGTTCCAGGAGCTTCCTCACCATGTGGCAGGCCCAGGGCAGCATTCTAAGAGGGCAAATTCTTGTGCTTGTCTATCAAGTCTCGGGCTTCCTTTTGCAGTTGCTGATTTGCCCCGGGCCAAAGCAGGTTACAGGGCCAACCTCAGGTCACTGTGGGAGGGGACTAAGGCTCCGCCATGGTAGGGGAAAAGAAGCAAAGAATTTGTGCTTCTTTTCTTCCATTTTTAATCCACAGGCCCACCCGTGTTTGATTTGCTTCTTGGACTAATATTGGGCCAAGAAAGAAAAGGTTCTGTTAGTTTGTTTCTCCAACCTTCCTGTATCACTGATGCTTCTTTGAGACCAACATAGGAGCTGATTAAGAAACTGGGAATATTTTGTTCAGATTCCAAATTGAAATGAAGGGTAATAGCTGCTTTTATATGTTTGAAGATCCTTCTTATAAAGGAGGGACCAGTTCCAGGCCAGGGTGTGGAAGTGACTGGAAAGCAGCTATCTCCTCTGCCATGTGAGATAGTCTTCTGGAATGCTGTCCTGTCCCCAGCCCCATGCATATGTAGAAGATAGGTAATAGTGTGTCAGGACCTTTGAAAATGGGCCTTCCTCATTGAATAACTCGACCTAAATGATTCCTGTTGGTGTCAGAAGTCTCTGATTCTGGAACTTGGGAAGCACACAGTGCTCTTTATCCTGAGAGTAGGGATGGATGAGGTGATGTTAGAAATGGGAAGAATTACTCTGTCTGCACAGACTTGTCATTTTACTTGGTGTATAAGGTTCATATTTGCTGCTAGAACCCCTGAGAGCTCGGACTGACTGTTGGTGTGAGGAGCAGTTCTATTTAGTACAGTGTCTGGTAGGTGCTGCATCTTTAGACAGGTTTTCTCTGGGTCTGCTTAGGTTGGAGTGAAGGGAATCAAGAGAAGAAATTGGATGTAAGAAGTAGATGTGTACAGTTGTTCCTGCAGCTATAGATTAACTGTTCAGATTGTTCAGTTTGTCTAATGAAAACAGTTTTGGCACAGCTTTCCCATATCATGTATTTTGCCTTACAAAACACCAGGCTGTCATCAGCTAAGAATACTGTCCATGAGTGATCAGAATGTGAGCCTGTTCCCATTTCCCCCTCCCACCGCTCCCTTCTCTTTGTTGGAAGGAGGAGGAGGCAGGGACGACTGTTCACTCTGTTGTAAAGCTCCTGAAGTTTGATGGAGGTGCTGTCTTTGGTTCAGGCTCCCAGGCCAGCCACTTTGGTCAGTGGTGTTTCTGTGGAGTCCGCCCCATTTCCAGTACTGCTTTTTTTTTTTTTTTTTTTTTTTTTTTTTAAGAAAACTCAATAAGCAACAGTACCTTCAGTCATTCACACATAGAGTAGTGTTAGGTTTTTGGTGGGAAGCAAAATTTAAGCTACAAATAAATATGCTAACTGAAGCAGAAGATTGTTTTTGTGACTGGCTCATTTACAAGCTGGAAAGTTGTGAAAAACATCAACCTACCAACTGTGTAGCCCATTGGCTCTTTGCTTTGGGCATCCATGTTCTTCCTGATAAAAATAATAATTATGTTATTCTGATATGGTTGCCAAGTGTTCATGCTTCTCACTCCACTTGTGATTATAAATGATTCTGCAGCATGGACTGCTTTGTCTTTGATTTAATGTTTCATAACATTTGGATGTTATGTTATCTGTGCTGATTTATTCTTCTCTTTCCCTTTTCAGAATGGACTGCTGAATTATGAAGAATTTCAGACCCAATAGTAGAACCTCACTCAGCTACTCACTCCTTTATCTCCTACTAGTTATTTAAATTGGACTTTTAATATCCTACCAGCTGCTCTTCAGACACACATGGTGCATTGTTGCCATTCCCCAGATTGCATCTTTGAAACACAGGCTCTTAGTAACTTTCAGCAAACAAAGAGGCAGCCTCCTGGGTACGTTTCCTGGGAGGGTGTCACCCTGACTGCCCTCTAGCTTCTGCTGGATCTGGATTTGAATTCCACCATGGAGCCTCGCATGGAGTCCTGCCTGGCACAGGTGTTGCAGAAGGATGTGGGGAAACGACTGCAGGTTGGCCAAGAACTTATAGACTATTTCTCAGACAAACAGAAGTCTGCTGACCTTGAACATGACCAGACCATGTTAGATAAACTTGTGGATGGGCTTGCTACCTCTTGGGTGAACTCTAGCAATTACAAGGTAAGCTGTGCTTTAGAAGGCACTTGAATAGGTAGCTGGGCTGCCTCGGTGGGTCAGAATTGGTACTTATGAAAAAAAAAAAAAAACTCGGGAGCAATCAACATGATTGCTGATTGCTCACTTGGGTTGAGACTTTTGGACATTTCATTCTGGAGCAAGTAGGATTTTCTTTAATTCTTGTTGGAGATAAAAAAAAATCCTTATGCTTTAGCACTTTGAGAGAAGACCAAGTGAACAGATAAAGAGAGGCTCTTATGTTGGAAAGTTTACAATCATTTGCAGCCTTGAAGTTAAAGTGAGTGTTATATCTTGCACTGAATGGAGTCAGGAGATGTTGGTGAGTGGCCCTTCATGAATAGCAAATATCTTTGCTGATTTCCTGTGAGGGATGGAATTGGCAATAACATGTGGAGCATTTTACCTTCAGATCACTGTTTTGAAGTCAGACTAGGTACCTGGCCAGAGATAGTATGAGTTGCCTAGGTCTCTTCTGTGACCTATGTGTAATGGCCTGGAGGATATCCTTCAGGTTCTAAAAATCAAGGTGGGCATGTGCCTTTGGTGGGTAGGGGGTGCAGGGAGGGGTCCCAAGACCCAAATGAGTTGTGAAGGTTGACCATTTTACCATTCAAAGATTGAGTTTTCATGACTAAAAACTAGACTGGACTTGTACTGAAGAGGTATCATTTTCTCTACCTGTCCCCCTCCTCTCTCTCTTTGTTTGCCAAGAGGGTGGTTCTTTGGGTCAAGATGGGGATGGAAAATTGGGCATTGGCATGTCTTCTAATAAGTAATATAGACTTTGGGAAAGGGGATCACAGAAAACAGAATCTCTTGTGCTTTTTTCATTGGCTCAGCTGAGATAAGTTTGGACTTGGAAACTGGTACTTTTAGATTTCTTTGTTTGCTGTGGTATAGACTCTTGTTTTCCAAATGCATTAAACCTTGGTCTTATCTAAGAGTCAGCAGGTTTTAAGGGTGTTACCTAGGACCCTGATATTTTACTTAAAATTGCATATAAAATTTATCCTGTCTTTGAAAGTCAAGCTTAATTTCGGTTTCATTCATCTATTTATTGATTTAGCTGAGGGTTACAAGTGCTGCTTATGTGCTTGGCCTTGGTGCTGGATGATGGAAATGTTACAGACATGAGAGGTGGTAGAGGATCTAGTTGTTCTATTGTTGAGGGCTATAAAGTAAACATCCTTTATAGGATTCTTTATTATCATCCTGTCTGTGATGGAATCACAGTTCCACCACTCTGTATTCACAGTGCAATTTGCTTTTGGATGAGAGTAACTGAAGACTGACTCATTGGCTTAAAACTGCTATAAGGAGATTGAATAATTGTCTTTAAGAGTTTAAGAAGTCTACAGTAGCTAAGGCAATGTCCAGGGAGGAAGACTGTCTGCTTGTGTCTTTTACTTGGAGGAAAACCTTTCTCAGAAGCTCCCCAGCAGACCTTTTTACATCAGATTGTCCAGAATTGCTTTGCATGGCCATCCCAGCATCACTGGAAAATAGATGGGTGTCCATGATTGTTTTCCACCATCATGCTTGACCTCCTGATCTTGAGTCCAACCTCCTTTGAGTGAAGCATATGGCCATGTGAAAGAGGGGGATATTTGAGTACTATTAGACTCCTGCTCAACAAATACTTGTTCCATGAGTGAACAAGCACTCCCTAAGTGTCCAATCCATTAAGGGCAGTTAATGAAACAAAGAGCTCTGCTCTGACCATAATATACCAACTGTGCAACATCAGACATCTGAATAATACCATACTTATGCTAATATGTAAAACTCACGTGTTACATCTTATGGGTTGAGGGAGGAAGTTAGGGATGGGACTCAGGTAATAGGGATATTACATAAGTAACCCATGAAGTCTGCTATACTGTGTGAGCTCTCTTAACCTTTCTCGGCTTCAGCTTTGGGCTTCAGTTCCCTCATTTACAGTTTTGGGATAACTGAGTTATGATGAGCACTAAACGAGACAGTGTATGTTGGTGGGAATGTAAGCTGGTGTAGCCACTCTGGAAAACAGTATGGAGTTTCCTCAAGAAGTTAAAAATAGAGCTACCCTACAACCCAGCAATTGCACTACTTAGTTATTTACCCCAAAGATACAAATGTAGTGATCCGAAGGGGCCCCTGCACCCTGATGTTTATAGCAGCAATGTCCATAATACCCAAACTATGGAAAGAGCCCAGACATCCATTGACAGATGAATGGATAAAGATGTGGAATATACAATGGAATACTACTCAGCTATCAAAAAAATTGAAGTCTTGCCATTTGCAGTGAATGACGTGGATGGAACTAGAGGGTATTATGCTAAGTCAAATAAGTCAGTCAGAGAAAGACAGTTGTTAGGATTTCACTCATATGTGGAGTTTAAGAAACAAAACAGGAACATAGGAGAAGAGAGGGAAAATTAAAATAAGATGAAATCAGAGAGGGAGATGAACCATAAGAGACTCTTTAGCTCTAGGAAACAAACTGAGGGTTGCTGGAGAGGAGGAGGGTGGAGGGATGGGGTAACTGATGAGCATTAAGGAGGACATGTGATGTAATGAGCACTGGGTGTTATTACAACTGATGAATCACTGAACTCTACCTCTGAAACTAATAATACACTATGTGTTAACTAATTGAATTTATATTAAAAAGTGCATATCTAAACACTTTGCTAAACACATTAACAAAAAGTTAATGAGATAGCATATCAAATTGTCCCACACCTGCCCTGTAACAAGCACTCAGATATTAATAGTTGTTATCAAGAGTGGTTCCTGTCTTCAAGGAGCTCCTAGTCCAGGGGAGTGGTGAGAGAGAGCACTTATTAGCAAGACAAGGGTTATGGTATAGTGGGAGCAATCGCAGAGACCCACAGAATTCAGGGGGAAGCCAGAAGAACATAACACTTCCTGGGGGAATCCCAGGTTTGAAGATTGGGTAGTTTTTTTCAGAATAGCGTTTTCAGGGTCACAAAAGTGTGAACGATTAAGACTTGACCCTTCGAGATGTCATCTCTAAGGAAGACAGGTTGGTGTAAAGAGAAGTCAGGAAGACAGGATTAGCTACCAAGTTGCATATGATCACGGACAGGTCTCTTTACCTGTCTGTGGAGTGCAAGTGTTTGACCAGATAACCTCTTGGGAGGCTTCAAGCCCTAATCTCTTACACAACTTCATACTGATGACTTTGTGGTCTGGGCCATGTGAGATGGTTCTAATGTTACACAGTACTGAGCACCCCCTCAGCTCTCTGAGTGTGGTGACACCAGGCCCTCTGCATACCTGGAACCCGGAGCCTGGAACATAGAAGGTGCTCAGTGAATATTAATTCCATGAGTGAACTCAGGAGCTTAAGACTGTTCGGCAAGTAGTGGGTTGCTTTACCAAAATCTGGAAACTTACCTTTTAGGCCCTTTCTCCCCCTTTTAATATAGATGAGGATTTCTCATTGAGCCCAATGTGCATTTTAGATTTTATTTGACATGTTTTATATTTTATGAATTGAAAGGATTCACTTTATACAAAACTTTGCAGCTTGGCTTCTTGATTTTTTTTTTTTTTTTTTTTTTTTTTTTTTTTTTTTGAGGACTACAATGAAGGAGAGAAGGGAAACAATTTTAGGCTTTCAAAGTAGTAGGACTTGGGTATCCTTCACAGAGAATGTAGATGAATGTCAACACAGTCTCTTATTTAAAAAATGGTTGGCTGGAGCTTGAATCGTTATACATTTGATTATTTCTTGCCTTGGTAAATGAATTTGTATTTGGCATTAATTGCAGTTTAGCAGCTACCCTTTATTGCTTAGTTACTATGTGTTTGGGATATTGCCTGTCTTAGCTCATTTAATCTTTGCAATGCCCCTGCAAGGAAGGTGGTGGTACCATGATTTCATGTATGAGGTAACTGACATCATCCAGAATTATGAGGTAATTCCTACCAGTGATTATGAAACTGGGGCTTCAATATGGGTCCCCCTGATTTCCTAGCCTTTGCTCCTCTCATAAGAATAGGATCTGCAGGGACGCCTGGGTAGCTCAGTGGTTGAGCATCTACCTTTGTCTCAGGGCATGATCCCAGAGTCTTGGGATCGAGTCTCACATTGGGTTCCCCATAGGGAGCCTGCTTCTTCCTCTGCCTGTGTCTCTGCCTCTCTCTCTGTGTCTCATGAATAAATAAATAAAATCTTAAAAAAAAATAGAGTCTCCCATATAGTAAATATTTAAGCCTCAGTGGGCCGTATGGATTTCTTGCAATTTAACTAGTTTGGGCCATTTTGGTGCAAAAGTAGCCACAGGGAACATACAAATGAATGAGTATGGCTGTGTTCCAAAAAAACCTTAATTTATAGAAACAAATGGAGGACCACTTGGGCTCATGGACTATAGTTTCCAGCCCCTACTGGAAGTAGAAGCACCTACTATGTGTAAGTACTTTCTCTCTCTTTCTTTGCCTTTTTTCTCTCCTCTCCTCTCCTCTCCTCTCCTCTCCTCTCCTCTCCTCTCCTCTCCTCTCCTCTCCTCTCCTCTCCTCTCCTCTCCTCTCCTCTCCTCTCCTTTCTTTTTTCTTTCTTTAGAATGTGGTGGGGAGGAGCAGAGGGAGAGAGAGAGAATCTTAAGCAGGCGGGGATGCCTGGGTGGCTCAGCCATTGAGCGTCTGCCTTCAGCCCGGGGCATGATCCTGGAGACCCAGGATCAAGTCCCACGTCGGGCTCCCTGCATAGAGCTTGCTTCTCTCTCTGCCTGCAAATCTGCTTCTCTCTCTCTCTCTCTGTGTCTCTCATGAATAAATAAATAGAATCTTTAAAAAAAAAAAAGTAGGCTCCGTACCCAGTGTGGCACCCAACACAAGGCTTGATCCCACAACCCTGAGATGGTGACCTGAGCCGAAATTAAGAGTTGGTTGCTTAACAAACTGAGCCATGAAGGCGCCCCTGTAAATACTTTTCCTCTAGTGGGGGAATCATTCATGATTCACCTGGT